TTCCCTCCTCAATGCTTTTAAACAACACTTCTTCCAGCTAAATTCCTTCCAGACTTAGAAAGGCATAGCAAGTTTCCTAGAAATTCAAGAACAGAAGAAGAAAAAGGCACAAAATCTGCATTACTGTCCTGAAGCACATTTAAAGTATTTTAGGAATCTGATGAATAGAAGAGGATTAGTAGCAGAAGACATCTGTATTAGAACACACTTATTTCCATGGTAGATGCTCTCTCCTTGACTGATCCACAGTATTTGAAAATGCTAACATTCATTTTACTAAAGAGAAAGCCAATTCACACCTCTTCTGTCTTTCAACAGGGGTATCACAGAAATTTTTAACTAACATCATATTCTACAGAATGAAAATTAAATGCTATTTAAGTGAACAAAAATAAAAGATGTGGAACTGACCAGTGATGTAGACATTTACACAAATCATAGGACCATTCCATAATTTTTATTTGCTACACAGTGTTATTTCCTGCCCTGAAAATAAACCTGGTCTCCAATGGAAAAGAAGAGAATCCAGCCTGTATATGCAGCAAGATGACAATGACAAGTAGGAAGTGCTGTTATTGTAGGAAGATGTGGGAAATCACATGCAACAGAGAGGGCAAGAAACCTTTTCATGCCTTTTTGGCTTGGCACACAGATTGCATCCTTTTCCTCAGTTTTGGAGGATATAAATAAAGCTGTTCTGTCTTCAATCGCTACTAGACACAGATCTCGGAATCTGCTACTTTTGTGAACAGTTGTTACAGAAATTTAAATTTAGAGATGCACACTTTCCAAAATAAGAAGCTACACAATACTTTTACAATAGAGACTACAACTTAGACATTCATTCTGTAACAAGAAAACACTGCTGAAAACAACACTAGCTTGTAGCAAGACATCTGTACTCCTGACTCTGGCTAAAAGCAAATGAAGAGGTGCAGGAAGACCAAACATTCCAGGTCATTCTAGGTTCATCAATCAGAAGCCTGGAAAAATATAATAGACAACAAATGACTTGTTCATCAGCAGTAGGCTACCTTCATTCAGTAGCATGTACCTAAGACCTCTGGCTGGCTGAGGATTTTCATGTCACTGAATGAGACAAACAGATCAGACCTCTGGCAAGTTGGTTCACTTCACTGTTTCTTTGTTCAGCAACAAATCTGGATGCTCTCTCAATTGTCTAAGTTGCCACAAACAGAAAGAGCCTAAGCTAATTGGAAGAGTCAAATCCTAACCTAGAGCACATATACTGAATCCAAGAAGAACCAATGTAATTTTAAGCAGTAGTACTTTCCTCACTGTCCCCCTTCATAAAATTAGTTTTAGAAAAGTCACCTATCCTAATAATTTCAAAAGCACAGTGATCACATAGTTGTGTCTTCTCAACTAAAGTACAGTCCATTCTCCAACAGTGAAATATAAAAGCTGCAAAAAGTTTGCTCACTACAACTTCACTGCTGCACAACAGCCACATGCTATCAACTCTCTGTCTCCAAGTACTTGGAAGATCTGCATCAACTTCGGCTCCCCCCATTAAGACTCAAGCTCCTTAAATACTTTAGGAAGAAATGGGTATTTTAAATAAATAAACATGAACTAGGATTCCAGTGTTGAGTTTTCACAGGGTAAAAAAAACCAAAACAACCACCAAAACACAAAACTACAAACAAAACCTTCCTTCACATGGGGCATTCTCTCATTTGAAAGCCTCAAATTAGTCTCCTGCTGTCCCCAGACTGTGTTACCTGTCCTTCACGCATAAAAAAGAAGTGTCAAATAGGTAAACTGCTCTGGGTTCAAGGCAGCTCTTGTTTTTTTTTACCATTTAAATCCCTAGTAATGCTTTCAAATTTCCTGCTATATAAAGATGGAACTTGTAATGAAGCAACTAAGTTTGAAGTTACAAGAACTGTACATTCAGGCAAAAAAAATTCCCCAGAATTCTAATAGATAACATAAATCAGAAAAATTCCAACTCTGAATAAGCTTAGTGAATTAAATTTGATCTTGAAGGAAAATATGTAGCCTGAATGTAGAATCACAGAATGTTTGGAGTTGGAAGGGACCTTAAAGATCATCCAAGTTCCAACCCCCCTGCATGGTCAGGGACATCTCCCACTAGAACAGGCTGCTCAGAGCCCCATCCAACCTGCCCTTTAACACCTCCAGGGATGGAGCTCCCACAACATCTCT